CTCACGATGTAATCATGCTTGCTTTTCGCATTTGCTTGTCTTCTAGAAGACATAAAATCCAAAAAAAACAAGTAAAAATCCACTTTTAACAGTTACGAAAGACAGAGGCATTCGGGAGTAACCCAAATGGCAGCAGATGTCACCAGCAACTATCGATGATCCTCTCTTCCAGGGCGTTTTTTAAACGCAAGCTGATGGCAGTTTAAAAAAAAACTTTTTTTAAGAGAAAAAACAATTTCAAAAAATCAAAATGCAAAAAATCCTAGCAATTCCATCTTCAGGCACTTAGGAATTTCAAACCTGGCTGTTGTAGATCACGCTTACGGACATCAATCGTAGTTGTCGATTCGCTTCAACTGTAGCTATTAGAAGGAATTTAACAAAAAGGTACCTGAATTGGAGCTGGTCGAAGTGCGAATATTTCATTTCGAGCACCTTTTGTGTAACCGTTCATATTGATCAAAATGTGTATGCCATCTTCATGTATGAGATCAGCTGCTTTACCGTTACACGGCGTCTTAAATTTTTCGTTGGAAAATTCGATTTTTTGGGAAAAAGTCATCGAAATTCGGGTTGCTTGAAACAAACAAACGAAAATAGGTTTTAACTATTCGGAAATAAACCAATTTTCTTCAATCCAGTCTTGATTCTTTACCTAATTTATCTTAGCCGATAGAAATCCCCATCGTGTTCTAGCAGTGGCAAAATTTGGAAGTGAAGGTGCCTAACGCATGTCTCGAAACGCCAGAACTTTGTCAGTTGCTCCGACAGGCAGAACCTTTGAACAGGGTCCCTTTCAAAAGATAAAAAGAACGTCAGGAGCACCAAAATGTAATGTGCTATCGGTCAAAGAAACAAAGTTGCCGGCCTAATAGTTTGACGATTAGAACGCATTAATACAGCTCATTCAGGGGGTACTCAAGTAAATAATAAATGGCCAGCGCACGGGCTGCCCGTGCGAAGATGCGTTTTTTGCTGAGTTCCCCGCAGGTTTTTGTCGCTACCGGCATC